AGTAGATTTTGAATTGCTTTCGATTAACAAATTTACCTATTAATTTTTTTAACATGACTGCATATTACTCTATTATGTCCCAACGAACCAAGTAGAAATTGTCGTTGTTTGAAGCTGGTTCGAAATTTGCCTAAATTTTGGATCTTGCTTCATCCCATATGTTCATTGTTCACCGCAATGTAGCAGGGAAGTATTTCTTAATTTTCTCGCCAAATTGTTATACACTACATTCGACGTAGTCTTTCAGAATACTTTAAACCTCTCCGATTAAAATTTATGTCTCGCGTCTTAACTATCTGAGTTTACGTGCAACTCAAACTTATATTCGTTTCAGTTAAAGTTTGTTACTCGAGTAGGCATTATTACTCGACATACCTTCATTTAAAACTTCCGAATAGCGATCTTGGGGCTGTTACTTTGTGCTTAACGACTAATATGGTAAATGGACTAACGCAACGAGAATCTACGAATGCACACTTAAACCTTGAAAATGTGTTCTAGAAAATCAGCCATACGAAAAGAAACGTGAAAGGCTAAGGGGTGCGCCACACCGGAGAGGCGGAAGGCGAGGCTCTAATCCCGTTCAAGGCGGCACCCGAAGACCCCCAAGAGGTACACAGATGGCCATGTCTCATTGTGAAGTAGTGGGAGCTGATGAGTGTAAGTCGCTATTAACATCTCACTTGTCCTCGATTTCCTGTAAAGTAACAGTGAAAGTCTAGTAGGGCCCCTGATGTCGTGGCCCGCAAATTCTTTAGATGTACTGCGCCTACTTCAAAGGAACACATCACGAAACATGGACCGCATTTTGGCTTCTTGATCCTTCTCTGCTTAGGAGTAAAAATAGTTCGAAATGACATCGATTTTTATTAGTTATAACTAATGTAAACCAATTTAACGATAATTTGGCTTCTTATTTTTGTGACTATACGGACAAATTAATTAAGGTAATTGACTTTGTTTCACCCTACAATCTGGTTACGTTAGATGCCCGGTCTTGCTAAGAACCGGTTGGCTTACGCTTGCGTGCGTTATAATTTTTTGCGATATTACTAGTCTTGAGGGCACGGGTTTGTTGCCGGGTCGCTTTATTTAACCGCTAGATGACGATAAACCGTTTTTCTTGCATACTGCTATAATAAGCAAGGTTCTAGACTAAAACCAGTTTTTTTGTTGTAGCTGAGTGTCATGAGCACAAGGAACCAGTTAGGGACGGACCGTCAACTGACACTGAATCAGTAGACGATGATAAGCGTCTCCAAGTTGATCTTAAGGTCAGTTTGTCTCTCAACATAAGACCTCGTAATCTATAATATATCATTGTCGTAAATTGTTGTTGTTGATTAGTCCTACGGAAAAAAGGACTAGAATTCAAGAGGCGTAATTAAGCGGTCATAATGTTCCCTTTGTAGCAAAGATGACCTCTCGCGTGATTTGATGCCTGTCTATTCTAGTTTTTTTTCACCCAATTCCCATATGTATTCATGTCCATGCTGCCTGGATGCATGGCTGATTTTGTCATCTGGCGTACTTAAATTGTCAGAAGCACATTATGAAGTGACTTGTGTTTGGATCTCGACCCAAGCTCTTATCAACCGCTTGAAAATGTGCGTATGTGTCCTCCTACCCGTTTTGAACGCTCAATGTTATAGGACAGTTTATTTTCGTTTAATTTTTTTCATAAAGGAAATCCGGTGCGATAAGTAAGTAAATGGAATGAACGTGGTTTTAATAAAACCAGTGTTCAATTTTGTCTGACTTTCACGCAGACATCTTTCGCTAACTTTTTCAAGTTATTGATATTGTCGAAATAATGTGTTTTTTGCGTGTAAACAAACTTTTTTATTATCTTATGTGTTGCGGTCTGTGCTGTGAATAAACTCCAATTATCAGGCAATCACCGGGTCTTATCCGCTTATCATGGTTCTCATTTCAAAACACATCAAAACAAATGTATTGACGATTGTTTTAAGAAGGATGAAGAGGAGCAACAGCCTTCTGATCGTCACCTGACAGAAGGCGAGACCGTGAGCAAGGGCACACATGAAGAAGAGTGCGTCGACAGGCCAAATCGTCAGGTTCGCTTTCTCGCTCGTATCTGCAAGTTTTTTTTATCTTACTTATTTGTTACTAATACTGGTAGAAATTATTTCCAATATTTGCGCAGATAGAATATGACCTATTTTAGGATTTTCATGGCTCCAGAGCCTTTGGTTCCCCAGATCTGGAATCGCCGCACCTGCGCTGACCGCTCAGTGCATAGAATAATCATCAGCATTTTAGCACGTTTAGCCCCTGTTACGCGTTTCAATTTGTCCATGTACTAACGCAAAAGGTTGGATTAGAGGTTGAGCGCGGAAAGTCGCACGGGTATTCGCGTTGGTTTGAGTTATAATCTTGTGCTTTCAAAATGAGTGCCACTGTCGTGTTAATTCCCAAAAGAAATCCAATTCTGTCTGTTTCTTATTAGTTGACGCCTGATACCTCGGGGGAAGAGTATGGAGAGGATGAGGAGGACGACGAATTTCACGATGACGGTGATGCGTCGTCTGGCAATGCGGTGCTCGAAGCAAAGACAGCAAGTGGGGCAGAAAATAGGGTTTGTTGATTCGTGCTGTTTTTTCATTGAGGGAACTTATCAATGTGCACGAAAGCATTGTGTGGCACCTGTCAATGGAGCACACTAGTCGAGGACAGAGCAGTATAATTTGAATGAACAATGTAGATGTCGTTTTAAATCAATTATTATGACTGGGATCGTTTCTGAGTTATGTACACTTTACGTCAGTCGGTTAAACGGTGAAATAAAGGATGCCGTCAAGCCGCACCAGTGCCCTTCATGTCGTGGCCCATGCAGACCTCTTTATTGTTGTGACGTAGGTTAAGGAAAGACTGAATAAAACAAAAACTGTGGGTCGAGGTATTAAATTCAATTTTGTTTTCAAATGTCAGAGTATTTGCCGGTCACAAAAAGGTTATTTTTCTATCTTATGGGTCCACATTTATGAGCTGCTCATGCTTCGACCTACAGTAGTTAATTTTGCCATCATAAACCTATTTCTTGTCAATACAGTTGTGTGGATGTGGCTTCGAATACACGCGAGTTCACTAGCTTTTCTTGTGGGCATTTTTCGTGGGCAATCATTTTTGCATGTCAATTGGAATAGTCAATTTTGCATGGAAATACTATGTGAACACAGATAGTTTCATACACAATGTGATGGGCAAGTTGAAACGTGTTGTTAGTGCCGCCCCACATGTTTGCATGTAATTAATAATGATAATGATTCACGAAAGTACCAATATTTGGTAGCTACCGAAACATTTAAGCAAATGTCCTGCAGTACGCGCGTGATTATCTATTAGCACAAATAATGAAATGCATGAAGGTGTTGGGAGTGTCAGTAAAGGTGCCAATATTTTGTGTGAATTGTAATGTTCGAGCCTTGATTTCATAGACTTCTTTCTTTGTGGGTACGGATTTCTGTCGAACGGGAAATTAAAGGCACCTTATTTTGTAGGATACGCAGCCCCTGGATACATGTTCGGAGCCAAACTCGACAAACATAGTCCATGTAGGTTGTCGGACTAACCTCGCCACTTTACACATTATGCACCCAGAGCGTTGACTAGAGTTGATTTTCCACTATGGGATGATTAGACGTCTGACCCATTTCTTGAAATGAGTACGTTTGGTTGTGTTTACGTAAACCCAAGAAATGATTTGTTACTGGCGAGCTGTTGCTTGAGGTCTCACTCAGTTACCAATTGATAGCTTTTGTCCGCCGTGCCTAACTACTCCTTCACCGCCCAAATGTTGTTAAGTGTTTTTTTTTATCAAATATGCTCCAAAGTTTGTTGCATTTACATCTCACACACTCCATTCGAGTCCGAGGTTATTCACAGGGAAATTTCTAGAAGCATGAGTTTTACCCTAACTGGTCATGAGTCGAAATGTGCTGTTTTCACTAGCTACCCGTCTTCATTGCTTTACGTTGTATTTTTGGTGCAGCACATTCTGGTTTTATATCATTTAGCGAATGTGCTCTAAAGAGAAACTGAATTTTTTCATTAATGACGTTGTGTTTACTTTGGATTACTTTTGGAGGAGAAGTCAAGTAAATTTATCGTATCTGCATGTAGTGAACACACTCTAACGACTGTTAAGGCAATCACTTGGTAAATTGTAATTTAGAATTCAACTAAAGTTGCCGAGTCGGATCCTATAATGCAAACATCCGGCGAAGAGTCAGCGGTGGCAGCTGTGGTAGCCGATTCAGCATCCCCAAAACCCATTGAGATTATCAGCAAAAACGGTGACAAGACAGCAGTGGTGAGTGTGCTTCTGTTACGTTAGTGTTGGGAGGTTTCATGATTCCCTTCTTAATTGTTGTTTTTAAATAATTTTCACTATTTTGATTTTTGCATTTATATAAACACTTTGAATTGTCATGGTGTTGTTGACCTACTGTAAAATCTGCTTCGCGCCTAATAAACAAAGTAGCCAATATTTGTTGTTAGTACTAGGTTATTTTCTTCAATCAATCAATGTATTGTGTTGAACGGAACTTCAATCAACTATTGTTTTTTTAGCGGGTAAATATTTTGAGTCACTTTGTTAACTGAATCTGCGTTTGCTTTGTGAAAATTGCGTGTTTTATAATAACTTGCTCGTTATATAGCCCGACGATTCTCCTTTGGAACAAACAGTGAGTTGTATCCGATTTAAAATGTTGACTGCTTGTCATTTTATTCGCATCTGCTGATCTCCTAGATCAAATGTTGCTGTAATCTCTAATCCTTCATAAATATTGCATTTTATTTTAGACGGAGAAAGCTAAACCTTACCAATCGTAGTATCGCATCACGTGGTTGTAGTGTAAGTTTAATACTGACTGTATCATTCTTTTGAATCATCAAAATGTATATTATGTTAAGGAAAATGGCGTCTGATTTAATCTTCAGTTGAAGTGTCAATGTTACCAAATAGTCTCCGAAGTTCAGGCTAATAGCATTTGTTTTCCACTAACATTTTCGCATGACGTTAATATCGATTTAATGTTTGATTTGGTAATCGTGGAGTTCTTGTTTTAATTCGTAACTTGCTGGTTTAGGCTAAATACTGGCAGACACCGTATCTATTCAACATTACTTTTATTCTCTCTTAGAAATTTCATCATCCAACGCAGTCTTCTTCATCGGCTGGAATTTTGGTCCCTTTGTTCTCGATATGAATTTACAGTACTTTTAATTTTAATACTTCCGTCGCATATTTTTCTTATTTTGGTAAAAATAGAATTGAATATCTTTCGGACCCGGGCAATCAGTTTCTAGACCAAAGCTTTTCGCTATTACCAATTTGTTGAGATCCTTAATGCCTGGATGGATCCTGCTGAACGTAGCGTTAATTGGTGCAAGAATATGGTGATTCAGAACCGCTGCATTAAGTGGCGGTGACCATCGTCCTAGACACAAAAAAACATTCTCTCTCTTGAGTTAGGTGTAGCTGGTGTGCATCCGAGACGTCGTGTCAGAGTAACGCCGGCATATTAACCATGAAGTTCCAACGTTGTATGTATTTAGGATGGTGACTTTCACTAACGCAAGTAGTCTCAGCGAAGGCGAAATGCAGGTTTCCGCTTAGTCATGTAGTGTTCATAGCCATAGGGCAGCGCACATTAATGTATTCCTTATCCAAGAAAGTTCAATGTGCCAATGAGCACTAATCGAGCTTTGATTATATAAAGCGAAGACCACGTAGGATGAGTTGCATTAAAGATCAGCTAGTGATGCTATCATCAGGAGATAGAGACAGAAATCAAAGGAATATCAGTAATATATTTTTTCAAAGCTTACAAAACTCAGCGATAGTCATGGGTGGCATATTCTCTTGGTTAAAAGTAAATATCAGAAGTGCGGTTAAAAAGACAACAAAAAGAGTATTGATACTGTTGTGTCAATTCACATATAACAACCATGGGCGTAGTGTGGAGTCAAGGCTTTGTTGTGTAGTTACTACTTATTGTTGGCTTCCAGAAAATGCTGTAATAAATTGCTAATACAATGGCGGCCAGTGACACTGAGATAACATACACAAAAACGGTTGCCAGTCTCACCCATTTCTTGTTATTTTTCTGCAGCTTCATTCTGTTTACATCATTCGATTTAGAAGGAGCAGACCGTCGAGCCGTACTCGTAAGCTTACAGTCAGTCATTTGGCGATAATCGATCAGGGCGCCCTGGATTAATCGGTCGGTGTCGCCAGGTTAATTTAATTGAAGTGTTAAAACAATAAGCAGATAACACTATAGCTGTACCTACCAACTTTAAGTTTACATTTATGGTACAAAAAGAAACAACATTAGAAACTATATATTAAAAAAAATTGTATTCGAATTTATTTTCTTGGAATGAAGCGAATCAGTTACTCGACGATTTCATATTAGAATTGAATCCTAACTCTTGTAAGCAATTACATCTTAAAGTTTTGGTAACCAAGACTGTCATAAATTTTGGAAAACAACTTAATCTGTGAACTTTTTTTTTAAATCACGCGATGTAGAAAGCGTTTAAGAAGATTGCATGCCATTGAATATGCAGTAAAAGGCCTTAATTTATATTACTGTAAGAGTTTGTGATACATGTTTAGTAATGCAAAATGTATTTAATGAATTTTTTCTTTAGAATCAAATAAGTAAGTTATGACTAGGTGTGACTGATGTAGTTTTGCGGCCGACTCACCTGACTTAATACCTTAAGAGTAAGCACTAAGTACATTTTTTGCAGGACCTCTATTTTAATAACTATGGTAAGCTAGTTGTGTTTAGGTAATTGATAAATGAAAAAAATCTAATCAATCTTTTTCCTAACCATCAAAATACATTAAAACAATATGATTCTTTTAAATGTTTGATCTTTGATAATACGACTTGCACAAAACTACCTTTTAACTAATCTAAATCAATGAAGTAAGCTTAAATTGAAAAGGACC